TTACGGCCTGCTGGGTGTCCCCACATCTGCAAAGATGTCAGCATGTCCTCTGTGTTTAGTTTGCTTGATTGTCCTCTGCTGGTTCATGTGGGTTCTGGAGAGGCACTGAATCACCCCAGAATAAAACGCCTTGCACACTGAGTAGTCCATGGTCTTGTGATTGAGTGGGAGGTCCTGTTTTTTTTTTTTTTTTTTACAAAGTGCAGGAAGTTGGTCTTTCAAGGCTCAGTGCTAAGTTGTGGATGTGGGTGTTTTCCCTCTGTTGGATGTGAATCTTGAAGTCAAAACAATTCTTTTTGATTAAGTCATGGTGGTCACAAGAATGTGAGCCTCCAATCAGCTCTGGGAATGTAAACAATCTGGGGCACTATGAGGCATCTGAAATTAAGAAATGAACAAATTAAATAGCTTGAATATTATGCGCTCCTCCTCCTTTTTTTTTCCCCCTCAAACTTACAGCTAGATAACATTCTCCATCCGGGAAGAGCTAATCCTTCAGCCTGGATATTTGCCAACAATTCAGTTGTGCCTTCTTCCCCCCAAGGATATCTGCTGCTGAAGGACTTCCTGGCTGTAATATCAGATTTTTCTCAGACTGAGAGCAGCTTTGAATTCATCCTTCTCCCGGCTTCCATTTTTAATTTTTAAAAAAAAAAAAAAAAAAAAAAAAAAAGCAAGGACAGCTCTCTTAGCCACGCTCACATTTTGAGCAATGACTACGCCAACTGTTCCAGCTAAACTCCTCCTCAGACACGAGCTGCAGGCCAATGCCAGTTTTACGGCCATGTTGACTTTGGAAGATGACGAGAGAAAAAGACAGAGACAGACTTCCAAGGCTTTTTGGCTTTACTACTTGGAGAATGTCGGAGGGTTTACCTTGGGCTGTGACCAAATGTTCCTAGTGGTCAGCAGACTTCTGGAAGAATGAAACAATAGCTGCTTGTTTATAGTTATGTTTCAGCAACCAGGTTTTCTGGCATGTTTCATAAAATCTTTTTTCAGTTATTTTAACTTTTTTTTTTTTGCTTCTGTATGAAAACAGTGCTGCAACTTATACTATGGACATTGAGCAAATCCGGTGTTTTTTGTGCTGTCAAGATTTTTCAGCTGGCTTCTTACTTTTTATATTTAGTGTCGGATATATAGAGTGTAAGATTGCAGAAAAGGGCAAGTAACCGTCATAGCGTCATTACTTGTAAATGTTTAAGTATGCACAATATTGGAGATGTAAGAGTTGGATGAAAAAGGGTTAAAGCAGTTTTTTTTTTTTTTTTTTAGGTTCCTTCATTATCTGGATGGGGAAAAAAATGTCCTGAACAATGAAAAATGTCCATCATCTGCAAACAAATGTAGACCAGGACAACTGGCTTGCTTGTAAATGAATTCCCAGCCTGTTTATTTCTCTAACCTTCAAGTAGAGATGCTCCCTCTGATCTGCTTCACATCAGGGGTCCTGCTGTTTACACCAATGGCAAAAGTAATTAAATTCCAGTTAAATTTGCCTGGAGCAAGATGGCGGCTGTTGTCCTAACAACAAGTCTGCTGAGGCTCAGTTAATGGTGTCACATTTGCATTTCCCTAATGTTGGTACCCTGATGGATTTTAAAGATAAAGTATTTGATGCGTCTTTACCGGATTCACACTTAGCATTAGACTCTGCTGGCATGAGATTTTCATGCTATGATAACCTTTAGTTAAATAAGTTCACAGAAACAAAACTGTGTGACATGACGTAATGCTTTGATTGACTGCTACAAACAATATTAACTAATTCAGGTGTAATGCTGGTACATCTATGATATTTATTTATGTTATTTTTGATTTATGTACTTTTTCTTAATTAAAAAAAATGGAGAATAAATCCCCACTAAATCTATCACTTTTTAAATGCCAATTTTTTTTTGTTGCTGTTGTTTTGCTTTTTGCATATTTATAACAAACTTTGAAACTCGGATCTCTGAAAAAATCCCTTGCAAAAATCCAACTGCTGATTGCAGCTTGTGTGGCCAAAGTATGAGCGTTCATTCTTCAGATGCATCTACTTGCCCCCTGAGCCATGTGTGAGAACACTGCATGGGTTTCTGGATAATTTTGCTAAAGAGGGGAAAAAAATGCATGTAAGCGGTACCAAATGTGTATCCTGTAGGAAGGTGCAATACCGCCACATCATCCACTACTATTGCCAAAAATAATTACCACAATGGTAGAATGTTTTCAGTCAAACCAGAGGAAACATAATAAATTAAAGCACAAAAAGCCAGGCTTGTTTCATAAGGTTGTGGCCGAACATTTGGAACACAGCGCCCGATTCCTTTGCGTCACAAAACCGAGTCCTTCATTTTATTTATGCACTTTGTGAAGTCTTTCATGTCGAGAACAGTGGATTAGTGCGACTGCTGGTCTGGTATGTGCCATAACTGAGTGAGATTATATCCCTGGAAGACAAAATTAGTGCCCATTTCTGCTCCCGGATCAACAATCAAATTCTGTCTCAAACAGAGCAGGTTGACCCTCTTCTTCTGTCAGATCTTCATTGTATTTAATTAAATAAATCCTTAAATTAAACTGCTTGATGGATGTTTTCCCTATTCACCAGACCGCCTGCCTAACCCTGGTGGTAGTTTTCCACGTTGCTTCAGCCAGCTTCTGAAGAGAGATACCAGATTAGCAGAACTAGAGCGCGAAGCCACTGAGGGTCATGCATCATTTAGGATAAAATTCTAATACCTGCGCGAGGTTAAGCATTCCAGAAAAAGATTAACTTGCAGAATAGCTTAATCTTTGCTTTGTTCTTTTAATGACTTTGTTGCATTTAGAACTTTTCTTCTCCCAGAATATCGTAATAATAGACTTGGTCCCGTTATTTTTTTTGTTCTGTAAGCTTGAAATTGAATTTTGGTTGCAGTAACTCGGACCGCAGTTTACATTCACATGCTGGTTTTGACCCCTGCTGACCTGTGTGTGAGGTTTTCCTTCCGCCGCTGCAGAGAGTCACAGACAACACTTCCCATCATGACATGGACTAAAACGAGCCTGTGGTGCAGTAAAATGCCAATCTGAAACAGATGTGGATTCAAAATGCCATGGATGTCCTTTTTTTCCTCCTTCTTCTTTTTCCAAAGAGTAACAACACAAGTAAGAGGGTGATCTGGTGTAGGGAGTGAAAAAAAAAAAAAAAACACTGTTACCATGGCTCTGTCAGTGTCCCAGTAATTAATAATAATTTAGGTTTTTCACATTCATTTGGTTTCAGCTCCGTAGCTGCGATTTTAAACATTTGCAACAAGTAGAGAGGACAAAAAAAAAGGATGCTTTTGCAGGAATGCGCAAGCAACCTGAAATGCAAACTAGATCAGAATGAGAACAATGCGAATGCAGGAAATGACAGGAAGAGGTGAGGCTGGATGGTGGGGTGGTAGAATTACAAAGCTGCAGCCGCTGGCAGACGGCCTGATGCTGAGGTTTGTTGTGCACCTTCTGTGGTCTTTGGGCCTCGTCATGGGAATGCGTACACAGTCATTAGGCTCTGATAGATGTGTGCTGAGCTGCTTTAAACCACCAAAAGGGATTAAGATTGATGTGAAGTGAGAATTAAAGGATTATATTTAAGGCTGCAAGCTTCCTCCTCCTTCAACAAAAAAAAAAATAATAATAATAATGATAAATTATTATTATTATTTTTGTACTTCCCTATTAGGTTTTGAGGAAATGGCAATCAACTATTGGATATCACTTTGCTCACTGGTCAGAGGAAAAAAGTGAATATTAAAGTAGAGCTTTCTGCTAGGATCCTATATTTTAATGGTAATATTTCACTGTGAAATTAGTGTTTTTACTCACCTTTCCATTTGTCTATTTTTATTTTTAATCCCAATAGCTGGCAGGCCTGGAGCGGGACACAAAACATGGCTGAACCACGGCGGGAAAGCACCAGCAGCCTGCAGAGGAAGAAACCTCCCTGGCTCCGACTGGACATTCCCACGGCTCAGATGTCACTAGACGAGCCTCCGACTTTTGTTCAGGTACTCCCTCTCTCTCTCTCTCTGTCTGTCTCTCTCTCTCTCTCTCTGTCTGTCTCTCTCTCTCTTCCACTCGCGAAATGCCTCTCTCAGTATTTATCACCCTTGTCATTTGCTGTACGGCATGATTTGTGTTCGCACTTCTCTGACGTATCTTTTTCTTGTGTAGCCGGTGAGGCGGCAGGGGTTCCTGCGCAGTATCAGCATGCCGGTGGAGACTTCTCACCTCCAGTCTCCGCCGCGCGACATCTTTGACACCCGGCGGCCTGTATTACAACGCCAGTCATCCATTACTCAGACCATAAAGAGGTAAGAGAAGGCGATAAGATGAATCTAGATATATTTCGTCGTACCTCATTGGTATGAACACAAAGGAACAATATCTTTGCCTTTAATATTACGAAATTGTGCATGGATGTCTCGCAGAGCATTAGACTCCAGAGTATGTTTTTGCTTTTTATGTCATTATCAAATGCAATATTTATGAGCAAATGTTTATTATAAGATAAAATAGAGGTATTATTTCCCTTTTGCCCTGTAGACTTGTAAAACATCAACTTTTCATGACTTTTGCAGTGTTTCTTCTTTCCCTTTTTCTAACTTTCCAAACACTTGGTGATTAACATCTTAATGCAATCTGACCACACTTCTTGCTTTGCTCTCTTTGCATGAAGACGGCCATAGCACTCCCAAGGTGCATTTGTTTGTTTGGTTTGTTTTCTTTTCCTTTGTCACTTTTATCTTCTCTCCACCTTTCCTCTGTCCCCTCCTGCCACCTTGCCGTCACCTTCCCGCCCTGTCCTGGCTGGTCACAGCAGCAGGAGAGTGCACTTTGAGCGGATTAACACTGTCCCCGTTAAGGGGCAGCGGGCTGCACGCCGCAGCGTCAGGAAACACCACTCTCTCTCCAGAACTCTGCTCAGGTACGACGAGAACAGCCTCGCGCAGGCTTCACTGGGATGAATCTGTGTGCCGACGATGGGGGAAATGAGAGGGTGGACTATTTCCTTTTTTTTTTTTTTTTTAAAGTCATGAGATGTTGCATGCCCTCTTTGTAGAAAATCCACATCACAAGATGTAATTGTTTTTTTTTTCTTTCAGTCAGTCCAAGTTCCCTCTTAGTCAGATTTTATTTTTATTTTTTTAATGAGTCATACAGTGAAACCAAAAGCTGTTCCTCTTCCTCTTACGGGAGCCGCAGTAATGACTCGTCCCGGTAGTTGGAATGGTCCCTCATTTCCCTGCAGATAGGCTTCAGAAGAATCCACTCTGTTTTAGCTTTGCAATGATGGTTGTTGATGAACCAGAGCTTGATAACTGGCGTGCCAACTCGTAATGGCCCCTTCAGAGTTTCTCTGTTAGATGAGGCATGGCAACGAAAACGTCTTACCGTTCGCAAAGAAAAGACGCTTTTCCACTGTTGCTTTCCTAGAACTGAGGGTTAAACAATAGATAAAAGCTTGAGTGACGTAACATTTACTGTGTAGCTTGTAATCATTGAAGAGAGATGGCTCGCTCTGCCCTGTTTTCCTTTTGAACAATGTTTTAACTTCCACTTCCTGGCCTCGGGGGAACTGCAACTTTCTTTGTTCTGGTGCTTATTAGGCCTCTGCAACAACAGAATGAATGTGCGTGTCTACTTTTAATGTGTGAATGTCCATAATGGAAAAATGCACTCTGATATTTGTTAGTGAAAGCTAATTGGATTGGTGGCTGTTAAGCATAGGAGTGTCTGTATTTAATCACTTTCTTTTTGTTATCCATATGCGTGGGCGTGAGAGAGTGTGTGTGTGTGTAGCTGTACAAGCAACATGTCTAGACTTGTTCCGTCTACTCTGCCCACTACTTGTACTATCCAGTACACCTTTTCTACACTCTGGGAAGTGTTATTTTCCTAGGGTGGTGTTGCATGTTCCTCCTGACCCACTTCCACATGTGCGAGGCTCCTACAAGGACCATTAGCGATTTGCTCTGAATGTCTCTGGCATGTGAGTTTGAAGATCTCGGTTGAAAAGCTTCTGCTTTCTGGTGTTAGGGGAACAGCAGACTGGTTTGGAGTTAGTAAAGACGGCGACGCCACACAGAAATGGCAGAGGAAAAGTCTTCGGCACTGCAGCCTCCGTTATGGGAAGCTAAAACCGCAGGTGATCCGGGAGATGGACCTGCCGAGCCAGGACAACATCTCCTTGACCAGCACTGAGACCCCACCTCCCCTCTACGTGCCGTCCTCGCAGCATGGAATGCAAAAGGTGAATAAAATTTTATTTTATTTTATTTATTTTTTTTTGTCTTTTTCTTAAAGCCGCTTCATTAATTAAATGAAAGGTGAAGGACAGCTTTAGCAATTCTGTATTTTAGCATGACGATTTTCTGTTTGTTTTTAACATGTCAAAATTGCTCACATGTAAAACACATTGCAACAGAAAATTCTCATTTTCAATTCTTACCTTTTCTACAATTTATTACTCGGAAGGTTTTTGTTAGTTTGTGTTTTTTTTTCTGTTTGACAGCTGCAACTTATTGAATGATTATTAGATGATTTTCAACCAGCTAAGAGTGGCAAAATGGCACAAAACTAATTTATTCACATGAACAACATATCTTTGTAAAACTTTGTTTTACAAAGACTTTATAAAACATATCTCAATAAAAAAAATATGATCATCTATTTTAGAGAAGAAAATTCTGGAGTCACTCAATCATTAGCATTTTTTAAAACTAGTACATGCACAAGTCTGCTAATTTAAATGAGTCTGAATTATTAGTTGCAGAACCTTCCAAGCTATTTCACATAAAATATGGACCCAACAAGAGAGCTGCCGTTTGAAATAATGCTACAATTTAAAACAAAAATGTGTATAAGAACACGTTCCTGACTCAGCGGAGTATTAAATAATAAATCCTAATCATGCATTGAAATCACCTTTACCACATCTGGAGTCCTAAGAAGCAGTGATTTGCTACCATGTGATTAACTGATTTTCTGTTTGTGTTAATAAGCAGGTGAACATGTTTCGTGATGACTGTGTCCTTTTTCTAACCTGACCAGCAAGCCGTCCATGTCTCAGCCCAGTTAAAAAATTATGGTAGTAAAAACACAATGCAAGAAAAGAAATTACATGCTGATCTGTTAACTGATATGAAAGATGATGGAACCAGGCTGAAGAATATGTTGCTTTTTTATTATTGATAAAGTCCTCAAAGAATTCAAGCTGCATTCTTCAGAGAATACATCTTGAAAAGCAATTAAATAGTTTGTGTTTTTTGGTCATTCCTGCACATTTTATTTTCCGTATTTGTTTGACTCCAGTTCTTTTTTCTTTTCTTTTTTTTCCTCTGTCTCATCTGGAAAAAGAACCCATGTTTTTCTTTACCTGATGTAATATTTTGAACCATACCTGTTTTTTTACTGTTATTTTTCTACAAAAAAAAAACAAAACATGTGACTGAGCAGACTCCATATTTTTATATGTTCCATAACCAAAAACTTTGGTTGGTTTTGCAGATCGTGGACCCATTGGCACGTGGAAGAGCCTTTCGAATGGTGGAGGAGGTTGACGGCTACAGCGTGCCTCCGACCCCGATCACGCCCGGAGCCGCGTCACTTTGCTCCTTCACCAGCTCCCGCTCAGGTCTCAACCGGCTACCTCGAAGGCGCAAGAGGGAATCGGTGGCCAAGATGAGCTTCAGGGCTGCAGCTGCACTGGTCAAGGTGAAAGAGCAAACGGAGCAGGATGAAATCCAACCACTAATTCGACTTTTCTTGTATTGCACTGATTTTGTTACGGCTGCAAATGTGCATGTTGAACTTTCTGTCTTCATCTTTTTAGGGGCGCTCGTTAAGAGAGAGCACTCTAAAACGGGCGCAGAGGCGAAGCTTCACTCCCGCCAGTTTCATGGAGGAAGACGTGGTCGACTTTCCCGATGAACTGGACACCTCCTTCTTTGCTAGAGTGAGCACAATTTGAATTCATTTCTATCCAACGCTGAATGTTGATCTAATTCTTTAAAAAAAAAAAAAGTCATCTCTTCTTAAATTCTACGCCGTTTTTCACCTCCACGTTTGTTTTTAGGACATCCTGATGCACGAAGAGTTGTCCACATATGCAGATGAGGTCTTTGAGTCTCCGTCTGAGATGGCCATCAAAGAGGCAGAGCCCGGCACCAAGAAGGATGAAATGGAGCTGACAGGCAGTGCCTTGGATAAGACTGAGCTTGAGAGAAGTCACCTCATGCTGTGAGTGAATATGTCATCAGCATAGTCGGCTTTAGCGATTAATTTTTTATTAAAAAAAAAAAAAAAAACTATCTGGCTCTAAAGCGGTTTTTCAGTAAGAATTACGCTGGAACTGCAAATCTAACAAAAATATATATATAACACGAAATACAGCTGTGTTCAGAATAACAGCTGGAAGACATCACTTACTGTATGCTGATACGCACGCTGCTGAATGTGAGTAATTGAAACCTTCAAAATAATAGCAGTTCTGATTAAAATGCATCACTGTGGAAATCCGAACAAAACGGGTCACTGTAAACACTGTTCAGAAGAACTTTGATTAAAAACTGGAGTAGTGAAAATATTGAAGAGCTGACTGATGTTGAATAATGCCTAATATTGCTTATTACTTTCTGAAGAGTAATAACACATTAGATAAATATTTATTCACAGCTTGTCTTCATAACAGGATGTGCTTCCAATTACATGGATGTAAAAAATGTTATACAGATTTTCAACTTTATTCCTTTTTTTTTTTTAGACAAACTGCTATTTTAAACTGTTAACCTTTAAACCCTAATCCCATGCCACTTTCTTATTTTTTAATAATCTCGTTTCCTCCCCATCCTCCCCTCCAGGCCTCTGGAAAGAGGATGGCGCAAAGCCAAAGAAGGAACCCCAGGACCACCAAAGGTGCCCTTGCGTCAGGAGGTGGTGAGCGTTCACGGACAGCGGCGTGGACAGCGCATCGTCGTGCCGGTCAAGAAGCTTTTTGCTCGCGAAAAGAGGCCGTACGGGCTGGGCATGGTGGGAAAGCTGACGAACCGCACCTACCGCAAACGCATCGACAGCTACGTGAAGAGGCAGATCGAGGATATGGACGACCACAGGTGGCAGAGCCTCCGTCCCGCTTCTCTGCTGCTTCCCTCAGTGGGTGACAGTATCGGATAAACTCCAGCCTTTAACACACGCTGTGTGTCTCTTTCAGGCCTTTTTTCACATACTGGATCACCTTTGTTCATTTAGTCATCACTATATTGGCTGTATGTATATATGGTATTGCACCAGTGGGCTTCTCTCAGCATGAAACTGTTGATTCTGTGAGTCCTACTCATCACCTCAATAAACATTTTTTTACTCGCACAATTTCACCCCAATACTGATCCCTGTTCTGTTTAATTTTGATTTAGGTTTTAAGAAACAAAGGTGTCTATGAAAATGTCAAGTTTGTACAGCAGGAGAACTTCTGGATCGGGCCTGGTTCTGTAAGTTAACCCTTCCTCCTTCCTAATGTTTTTGTTAAACTGACACGTTCCTGCGTGCAGGTGTTGGATGTTTTATGTTTTTTTTTTTTTTTTTTTTTTTTTTTTTTTTTGTGGGATCCACGTTTAGGAATCCCTGATCCATTTAGGGGCCAAATATTCTCCATGCATGCGACAAGATGAGCAAGTGCACAATCTTATCAGGGAAAAGAAAGCTGTTGAACGCAACTCTGCGTGCTGCGTTCGGAACGATCGCTCCGGCTGCGTTCAGACTTCGGAGGAGGAATGCTCGGTCCGTTTAAAAAACATTAAACCTATCCATCTGCTAAGAAACGCGGTGAATGGTTCTGATCCTCTGTGTTTGCCTCTGTGCAGAGTACTCTAGCTGTGTGGGTGAAGTGGCCGAATGATCCCGCTATTTTAAACAGCACCCCACAGTTCAAGGGTAAAGACAGGCAGCATGGCTCGGTGTGTCATCAGGATCCCAGGTAGGAAACGCGACAGCGTGAGCTGATGGTAGATGAAGCATTTTACACATCTGTTGTGTACGATTTCTCTCTGACTGCAGGATATGTCTGGAGCCGGCCTCGGTGTCGCCACATGAATGGCCCGATGACATAACGAAGTGGCCTGTGAGTAATTTGAAGCCTCCACCCCGACGTGATTTTGATCCTTATTACAATGAACCTTCACTTTTTAAAGTGGCACTTAATTCACAGTAAAAGCAAATTATTAATTAAATATTTTATAGTTGTTTGTATCTTTAATATTGTCTTTATTCAGTTGAAGCTACGCTACTGATGAAAAGGAAAAAAAATCAAGTATTTTATTTATTTTATTTTTTTCAGGATTAAATTGTCCAAATTAATTGGAGACATTATTTCTCACCATCCAGTTTTTTTTTATTTTTTATTTTTATTTATTTATTTTTTTTGTTTCTTTTTTTGAATTTCTCTTATTACCCTCAAGGTAATAAGTATATTTTGACGAAATGTGCTGCAGTCTCGTAGATTCGAATCCAAAGAAAATGAAATTATTACAAGAATTAGCTTCAATAAAAAAAATTTTCAACTAGACTGCCAGTTTGGAATAACCCAACTAATTTCTCAGTGGTTGTTCTGTTCTGTTTTTGTTAGATTTGTACCAGGTACAACACAGGGAACCATACCAACCTGCCTCACATAGACTGCACCATCACAGGCCGGCCCTGCTGCATCGGAACCAAAGGGAGGTGAGAAACATTCGGGCCGATCACACAAACCAGAGAAACGTTTTAGCTTACTGACCGCTGCGGTTTTGCTTCAAGGTGTGAAATAACATCCAGGGAATATTGTGACTTCATGAAGGGCTACTTCCATGAGGAGGCTACTCTTTGCTCGCAAGTAAGCAGCTGTGCACATCACGTGTTTCTTTTTGAATCACTGGGGGATTCAGCTGAACATGCTGTCCTTTTTTCAGGTGCATTGCATGGATGATGTCTGTGGATTGTTGCCTTTCCTCAACCCAGAGATTCCAGATCAGTTTTATAGGCTCTGGCTTTCTCTTTTCCTGCATGCTGGGTGAGTCACACATGTTGGCACGATCTTTTCAAAAAAAATTTCCTGGCGTGAAACACTACCTGGGAATGGATTGAACTGGACTGTGTAAAAAGGCGCATTTCAAGCTTTTATGTCGTTTTTCTTACTGTTTGATCATCCCAGGTAGGTATCAAAGATTGAAATAGTTGTAAAATGTGCAGAATAAAATAGAATGTCTTTCCTATCTGTGTTAAAGTGAAAGTAAGTGTTTCCCCGGCAGTGTATTAAGGACCAAAACAAATTAAAATAGTTTGCAGCCACATGGAGGATATTAATGCACGTAATGTGTTCAAGGAGCTCAGCTCAGGCGTAAGACGTTGCAGTTTAGTTACATTAAAATCACAACAGAATATCTGCATCTGTTGTGTAACATTTGGTCACACAATGTGGTGAGGAAAAATTTAATTAAAAGATGATAGTCTGATTTCATATTCTGCACGAGGAAGTTGACTCCGTCTCTTTCCTTAGGTGGAGCACAAACAAGGCACAGCCATATCAAAAGGCAGGAGATATTATTAGTGGATGTACTACTTTCTTCCATGCAGTTGCTTGTATAATCATCCATACTCCATGATTTTTTTTTTTTTTTTTACGTGTTATAACTGTAAACTATTTAAATGTATTAACTACATTTTTCTGGTTGATTCACACAAAGCGTGGCGTGATTGTGATGGTTTTCAAAATGTTTGACCAAAAACAAAAACTCCAACTGATTTTCTTCCAGGATTTTTCTGCATTTAGGTTAATCAAGTATCACGTGTCCCCTGCTGAGTAAAAAGCATTCCCACAGCATAACACTGTCGCCATCCTGCTAGGTTTCCTCTTTGCATAAAGTTAGATGTTCGATCCTATTTGAACCGGACATCTTCTTATTGCTTGTTTTTACCCAAACTATAGCTTTCTTTTTGCCCCTCTGCCCCTTTTTTTTTTTTTTTTTTAATGTACGGCTGATGACTGGCATGTTACCGGATCCCCTGAGCTGTTTTCCTCAGTCTTCATGATGACGTTTATTCACCGCTATTGTCTAACGAACGACAGCCTTCGCAGAACGGCTGTCGACTCGGTGACAGGCCAGTACCACGTAGTGCTCGGCTGTGAAATGGAAAGAAAACCAGTCGACGGTAAAATTTCCAATAAAAGTCACTAAAGTTTGTGGTTGGAATGTGACATTTGGAGAAGTTCGAACCATATGAATACTTGCGCTAGAAGAACTGATACCCTAAATCAATAATCTTTCAGGGAACAACATAAGGGAAGGGAACTTGTTGTGAACTAAAACAGCTGTTGTTGAGATTCATCTGTTTATATCTTACACTCCATCTGTTTGCCATATGCCAAAAATATGTGTGTTTTGATCCAACTGCTCGCTCACAGTGGTATTCTGTTTTGGCGTTATCATGCTAGCTGCAGTCTAAAGCTGCCAGTCAGGCAGAGCAAAGACCTCCCACAGTTAAGAAGCGCTTCATCTTTGCGTCGTCTGTTATTTCTCTCCTGGATAATTAACAAAGTGGCCTCACTGCGTGAACTCATTAAGCTTCCCTGAGATGGAGAGTGATTTCTGCAGCAGTGCTTCTTCCAGCGCCGGAGGATTATCTTCTCAACACGTGCGGCTTTGTGGAATCTCCATCCCTCATGCGCTTTACTTTTGTCCGCGTCTGTCCTCCCAGAATCCTCCACTGCATGGTGTCGGTGGCTTTCCAGATGACCATCCTGAGGGACCTGGAGAAACTGGCTGGCTGGCTGCGCATCTCGATCATTTACATCCTCAGTGGGATCACCGGGAACCTGGCCTCGGCTATCTTCTTACCCTACAGAGCAGAGGTAAGCAGAGCTTCTAGGTTGCAAGACGCGTTCACCTTGTTTTGTTTCCTAATTCTTCTCTCGCCTCGTCTCAGGTGGGTCCCGCTGGCTCTCAGTTTGGGATCCTGGCCTGCCTGTTTGTGGAGCTCTTCCAGTGCTGGCAGATCCTGGCCCAGCCGTGGAGGGCCTTCATCAAGCTGCTGTGCGTGGTGCTCTTCCTCTTTGCCTTCGGGCTGCTGCCCTGGATCGACAACTTCGCCCACATCTGCGGCTTCATCTCCGGCTTCTTCCTGTCCTTCGCCTTCCTGCCCTACGTCAGCTTCGGCCGCATGGACCTGTACCGCAAACGCTGCCAGATCATCGTCTTCCTGCTGGTGTTTGTCGGTCTGTTTTCAGGCCTCGTGGTGCTCTTCTACGTCTACCCCATCAAGTGCGACTGGTGCGAACTGATCACCTGCATCCCCTTGACGGACAAATTCTGCGAGAAGTACGACCTCAACGCCCACCTCCATTGAAGCGCGAGCAACGAAGCATGAAGGCATCAGGTCAATCGTTGTGGACTGATCCGAGAGGGAGGGGAACATTTCCTCTTTCTCTGTGAACTAAAAGATTATCGTTGTGTTCTTTTACTGTGTCATTATGAATACCTATACTCCTCATCATATGGATTTCCTTTACGTTCCCATTCACAATCATTGTCAGTGCTTTTATTGTCCAGTGAAACAAAGCTAAGGCACTTCAAAAACCCATCAAAGCGCCTGGTTTCACTTTACTTGAGATCAAGTAGTTGGAGAAGCCAAGGCGCTGGTACAGGCTGAAGGATCATATTCAACATTTGCAACAATTATTCAGGCAACCTCAGAAGCAGGGACAAAATATATATACATATATACCTTTGGTGCCTTGTTGATAAATGTACCAACTACTGCCATATTTTTGTTACATTATGCTGAGCACTCGAATGTTTCCTTTTGTTTATTGCTTCTCGAGAAGTGATTATTGTTTTGAACACGGCGGCGTTTTAGCCGCCCATCTATCCTCATGTAATTGAAACGGTAAAAAGAACAAAAAGACAAAAAACGACTCTTAATTAATAAAAAATGTGTGCTACTTTTTCTTAACGCCTGCTGGATGTTGTGTAGTTTATTAAAATCAAACAATGAAACACGACGTTTCTAAAGATTGTGTTGTAATTTAATCAGTTTTATTTTTTTTTTTTTTTAGGCCCCCTCACTCGCCACGAACTACAGTGGGTTTAATTGAGATAAAAGCTGATGATGAAGAATATGATGTTATGTCTGTCGGTAAAAAGCAACAATTTGCTGTCTGAATCCGCTGTCACTCCACTCTGTCCACGCAAACCTCTCTCCCCTTTCTCGTTGGGTTAGGTGTGGAGTCCAGTCCACCAGTGCAACAGGGTTTGTTACATTGAGTCCAGCGAACGCAGCCGACTAGCAGCCGCTGTTCCGTCGCGCGTACACCTGCCCGTTCAGCATGTACTCCATCTCCTGGAACTGCATGTTGGATATGGAGATTTCCGAGGGCCCTTTCTCCTTGAAGCCGGCCTTTAGGTAGAAGGGCACCAGGAAGTCCTCGCAGATGAGCAGCGCTCTGCGGAGGCCCGGCATGCACCGCAGGTACTGCAGGTAGCGCCACAGCAGGATGGATCCCTTGCCTTGCTGTCGACAGTGGCGGTGCACCGACAGCACGTGGATGTGCACAGTAGGCGTGTCTGGAACGTGTTGGGTCATGGCCTCCTGGATTAGAAAGATTAGATTTCCATCAGCGATGAGTTGCAAAAAATAAATATCTTTCTTATAGAAATGTTTTTTTGTTGTTTTTTTTTTCTAATACCTGTGAAAGCCTTTCCTTGTGCCAGCCGGAGCCAATGATGAAGGCTACCAACTGCCCCTCCTCAAACCAACCCAGAGACAGCTCGGGGCACTGACCCAGAAAATTAAGCACCTCATTCAGCGTGAGTGGGCACTCGCCAGAGACGGACACGAATGCTGCGAAGCATTTCAGACACTGATTATCATCATCAAGGAGGCAATTAAGTTGAAAGGAAAGAAAATATGATGTTCTCTCATGTTTAATCAGCTGACACACATATAGTTTTTTTTTTCTCCATAGTGTTGAAATTAGAAAACTCCATGTTTTACAAATACATAATCTTAAAAATTTACCTTTTTTTTGGCGATAGTTGCAAGAATTCCATTCATGAATATCAAAAGCATAGACTTACCTTCTCTTTCTATTTCGAACACGCTGATTGCATCCTGTGGGGTGAGGTTTCTGAACTCGCTGGCGGGGAGCGTGTGTCGTCTCTGCTGCCGAGGGGTGACCACTCTGACGGGCGTCTTCAGGAAGAAGGGCTTCAGGAAAGGCGAACCGCTCACCTGCTTTGTCATGTTACCCTCGTAAAGAGCAGCTTCACAATGATGCATTATCATTAATTTACTAATATAGTTAAAATGATGGCCAAATGTCTGATCTCCTGTCTGTCCCACACCTGCGTCTGTAATCTGCCTATCCTCTCCGAGCAAGACGCTGACCTTTGTGCCTCCTCTGCTGGCCGCTCCTCCTCTTCCTCTTCTTCTTTGTGTCTGATCTGATAATGCAAAGTGGTCGTCTCAAAGAAGGGGAGCTGCCTCCGCACGTGCCTCCAGTCTCTAATAAATCCCTGGATTCTAAATCAGACATATGCTTGATACCTTGGATCTGGATTAAAAAGCTAAAACTAGATACTGGAACAGTTAAAGCAATAAACTGTTTGCCTCTACATGTGTTTAAAAGGAATTGCTTTATCTCGAGTGTTTCTAGAATTTATTGTAATGATTTTTAAACATTCACAACTAGGAAACCATGTTTGGGATTATTAGATTATATTAAATGAACAGTATGGTGACATTTTTAATATGCGGTAGTGATAAGCAGTGATTAAATCTTGAAAATCTCCAAATTGCTTCTTTTTCCCTCTTAACATGCCACTGAACAGCGGAGAGATGCAACAAAATGTTTATCAATTTTTTTTATTATTTTTTTTTAGCACAGGAAAACAGGAGCATCTTTATTTTCTTAAATTTAGTTGCATAAACTGAAAAATGTTGCAGAAGTCGTCCAACTTGTGGCAGCTATGAACAGGTGTTTCAGCCCAGGACGTTTGTGTTGAAACAGGCTTTTTTGTGTCAACACTTGCTTCTCTTTGGGATTAAGGTCCAGGCATTGGGCTGGTCGCACCGCAACGCTAATCTTGTTGTTGAAGCTAAAACCAAGATGTCGCTCGCTTTTTGGAGGGTTTGTGGTCTTTTTTTATTTTTTTTTGTAAAACACCTATTTCACAGGCATTTCCTTTTTGTATGAGGACATGATTTTCTGAAGTATTCTGAGGCGTATTGTGGCTTGAATCAGGTGTTTGGGGCCCAATTTACTTGACACAGAAAGATCAATTTTGCTTTCATCAGTCCCTAAAGTGTTGCACCACTTCCATTTAGGAAATGTTCTTTGGAACATTGTAACCTCCTCAGCACATACTTTTTGCAGCAGTGGGACTTTGTTGCGTCTGTCTGCTGAAAGCTTGGTGCCTTTTAACTCTGCCAAATTTGCTGCGTGACTGTGTCGGTGTTTCCAGGTAACTGGGCCTTTGTTGGAGCTGATCATTGACTTGTGTTTTTACCATTTTGGTTGTTCTCTGATCTCACTGAACAGTTTCCATTTGCAGTCACATTTGAACTGATTTCAAATGTACTGACTTTCTGCATTTCTTTATATGTTTTTGCTGTCCAGTCAGCTTGTTGTTCTAAGGATGCTAATTTCTGACCTATAACATTTATTTTTTCACATTTTTCTGAGAAAAAAAAATCATTCTAACTAGCATGAACATTTCTCACCTGCACCTCCATAATACTGATGCTTATTTAACGTCTGTTTTCTTACAGAACTGGTGAGATCACTGATTAGATTCCACACTGCTTGTTTTGAGTACATTATGTACATCATTAAGGCAGGGTCTGAAGGTTTTCTATTTATTTACTTCATCCATTTGAATTAATTATATTATTTCTGCCAAAAACAGTGATGAATCAGGTGATGTTGGACTATAATTATTTGAACACAGCAGAATATGTTACATCAATTGTGTATTTCAGAGTGGGCGTGGTGCTGCTGAACGTTTTGATGCACACGTTTCTAGAGATTAAGGGCATGTGGGCTAATTTGCTGGAGCACAAAGAGGAGGGAGATTTGTGTGGATTGCTGTTGGATTGATTTCACGCTTTGAAGAGATTTACCAAGGACTAATTAAATGGGAAGGCACTTGTTTTTACCAGCCTGAGGTGGACCTCAGACCCATACATATGATTGACAACCTAAAATGGTAAAGCAGCTCCTGAACTCACTCTAAGTTCAAAACAATAATGATGATGTTTCAGGAAAACCTCTGCTCTTTTGTCGTGCGGAAACTAAGCTATAGCCTTTTAACTTGTTTTTTTTTAGGGTTCTGAAGTAATTTTGAATCTTTTGTGAAGGAAAAAAAAAAAAAAAAAAAAAAAAACTTCTTTGGATTTCAGCACTATAAACACATCATGACTGATTAATCTTAGACTTTGTATTTTATCAAATGATTTTATCATTCATAAAATCTCACTTCATAGAATTGATCAAAAAACTTTTTTCATAGCTTATTAGAGCCAGTGATTCTTGAGAAAAGGAACAAAACAGGTCCTAAGGATAAAGCACAAAATTTGAGTAGAATATACACAAAATATAATTTTTTCAAATATCTGACTAAATT